GTGATAAACCTAGAAGATCAAACAAAAAACAAACATTTTATACTAAGCCTGTTCGGAATTCTAAACAGTAAATCACACACACAAACGACACAGTGCTATTTTAATCATGCAATATACAAAATTTTTACTAACAATGGACACGAGATACTGGTAACATGAAATAATATAGACAATGCATTAAACTTACCCAACTTTGGAATTGCGACCTTCTCTTGGAGGAAGGCATTTCGATTGGATCACGTCTCCAGCTTGACTGAAGATTTCTTTCAACTGATCCTACATTCAAAATAGATAGATATTGTATATAAAGCCTTGCCACGGCGCAAGCGTAAACAAAAGCACAAGAGGGACGTATTAATTTATTACGTACTGTCCTCACTACGGCACAACATAGGCATAAACATAAGAATATAGTGAGCAAATATTGTTAATTACAGGGATGTCAGAACCACGGGTGCAGCACGTGCAAGTGCACACTTTGCCTTCTGTATGCACAACTTTCTGGGTGCAGACTTTAGGTGCAATGGGTGCACAGAAGATTTAATACGAACATATTTAACACGAACAGATTACTTCCGTAAATCCCTTGCGTCTGCATTGGTTTGCTTGTTTGATTTTAAATTTGTTATAAGGAAATAAGTGCCCGCCCTTTGATTTCATCAAATTTTCAACTATAGTGATGTTATACACAACTTTCTTATGGTTCTATAAGTTTCAACATGTTGGTAATGCAGATAACAACGTACCTCGTCAATGTCAGCTGGTATGTTGGTAATATACAGAGGAAATCGATCTCCTTTATTTCCATCACCTCTGGGCTGTGAAGCAGATTTACTTGCAAATATATTATTATTTTGAAACCTATAAGATAACATTATAAGCTTTTCAAAATTGGCTGCGGATTGGTATATCCCAACACAAAGTATACATAATAGCGTTTAAAATTGTTTATATTTATTATTTGAAACCCAAAATTATACGAAGTTTCACAGCTTTCATTAGGAAATGTCAATTGGAGTAGTATTCGGGATGGACCACGTGTGATCATGGATAGCTATATAGATGAGTGATAAAAGGTCGTTGATATAGAAGATTGTTATAATGGGCCTACAACATTTTGTTTTCGAGGAATACCATTTTGTTTTCGAGGAATACCACTCGACATGAAATATTTACCCAATTGTATTGCGATTTTTACTGAGTCGTTAACTATTACACATTAATACAGTACATCATCAAAGATCCATGATTGTCAAGATTCATGTTTATTTACACGATTCTAGTATAATGCTCCTAATTTTCACTCTTTTTCTTAACGTTTTTCTAAATATTCCTAAATGTTCCAACTGGGATCCAACCCATGCAAAAACAAGGCCTCTTCCTCCTGTTTATAAACATATGGTGCTCAACAGACTGCCATTTCTTGCTCTTATAATATCTCAACAGTTCGTATTTTGTTGACAGAGTTATGTTTGGCAGTTTACTGCTCTAGTCTTTCACTATAGGTGTCACTGAGTTACACAATTGCGATATATTTATGTTATTGAATATTGCACACATGCTACTGCATGCAGATTGTGGTCTTCACATTCTTTAGTTTGTATTTTTGATAGCAGTAATGCAATTATTCATCGAAGAAAACTGATACTTCTTTTTAATAAAATACGATTGAGATGTAAACAAAATTAACAAACTTTGAACTTGGGTTACCAAGATATCTAGCTAGTATATAATTACGACTTATTATACGACTAACTTTGAACTTATTGTTCTTATATAACAGAAGTACTGTATAGTCCAACAGTATTTACATAGTGAGTGACCAAAAATCTACGAAAAACTTTTGTGGTTTTCTCCTAAGTTCCTAACACAGTAACGGGATTAACACTCTGGATGAAATTTAGTAGAAACTTATCTTTTCTGAGTTTTGGATAGAGTCTTACTCATTAATATATCATCAAAGATTCATGATTTTCAAGATTCATGTTTATTTACATGATTTTAATGTGGGCAATTCAAAATGTTAAATATTTTAATGCTTTTCTCAATTTAACTTATTCTTTTTTTCTCAATTTAATTTATTCCTTTTCTTTGCTATTGTCCAGACAAGCAAGAATTCAGTGCAAGTGAAGCAAAAAACAACAGGAGCTATATCTGAATTATACAAGCACTTTTGTCTCACACTCTCATAAAATAGACCCAGACAAATTCTATCGAAAAACAGTCGTTAGGGCATTCGCTCGAAAAGTAGCAGCTACTATAACTTCCCAATGAAGGGCTTTTTATTAATGTTGAGGTTTTGCTTGTATTTTTCAGGTACAGTAAGTCAAAATCCACAGTTATCTTATTCTAACACTGACCATTTGGGAAATATTTTGACTAGTCATTTAATACATGTGCTGTTAAACCTAATCAAACAGTTTCTTGATAATAAATAACAGATTACATTGTACATTAGCAGCAGTAATGGCTAAATTAATTACACTGACTCTGGTATAAAATTAAGTAAGGGACCAGTCATCAATTACTGTATAGAAAGGGGGGTTGTGAAAAGGAGATGTTCAAATTTGGTTGCCCCCTCCCCCTTGTGGATACGAGTCTTATTTGACCCTTCCCCAATAAAAAAAAATGCATACCTTATTTTAAGTGCATATGAAGCAAAACCATTTATTGGCCTTATACAAGACAGGCATCGTGGACAATTGATGGATTAATTAGGGGGCTGGCAAAAACTGATGTCACAGGCTTACTAGGGGTAAGGGAATGCAATCAAATTCACTAGTTGCAGTTAAACCCATTTCTTACTACTGTATGCTGTTGCAGTATATCGATATAGTCGATAAGTATAGACCTTATTCATAAATCGTGATCGAGGCCTCGTATCCTAGGATAGTAGGATACAGGAAAAAACATGGGAAAATTGACAAAACATTTTTTGCTGTCGGCTATGGCAGCTTTTTTTCTCGAAAATATTATGGCTTTTTCGAAAATATTATCTATGAAACTGAGCTTGAAAGTTGAAATAATACTTCTGAGAAAATATGATATTTAAAGCAAAAGATGCTGGAGTCAATCGGAAAGGGAAACTCTTGTATTATTGTCGTAGTTTGTATGGCCAAAATAAACAACCAACAAGACTACAAAACGTATACACACCAAAATCGTAAGAAACATGAAACTATTTTTGAAGAAATAAGATTACAACTAACTCAGGTAATGTAGCCTTCATTTTTTAAACTTGTAATCTACTTGCAGAATGTCATCGAGCTTATTCGAGCCACAGGCATAGTTCATATTTTTCCGTACAAATCAATAACATTTGATCGTGGATTTGTTGATTTGTCACAGAATAACCTATATATTGACGTTTAAATCTCGGTAAAATATTTTCTTCTGGATAAACACCATTGCTACATTCTCATATTTTCCATACAAAAAACGGGAGAAAAACCTATTGTTTTTATAATATACTCGTTTACAGCTTTCGCTTGTATAAATGGCCCTAATAGCATCTGGATTTGGCTTGTCAAGCAGTTTTCGCTTGTTTTCCCGCATTTATTCTCGTTTCCTAGGATACGAGGCCCTGATTGCGATTTATGAATAAAGTCTATAGAAATTTCAAAAATATCAATAATCAATTTTTGAATACCAAAAATACCGAAAGTTTTATCAAACTTATTTCCTGGTAAAGTCTCGAAGTGTTTATCACAAAAGATCACAAAAGATCACAATTGGACTAATGAAAACAATATTTTCGATATAGTCGATATTTATAATAGTTTTGTTTGTGGAAACACCACGTAAATTTATTACTGCATTAATTAATTAATTAATTTTATTTATTTAATTAATTTTATTATTTAATTAATTCATTAATTTACGTGGTGTTTCCACAAACAAAACTATTATATGAATTTTTCTGTGTTGGTGTTGTGTACTCGGGTGAATAATATGTTTGCGATGTTACTCTGAGTGCATATCCACACAAGGTGAGCTTGAAAAATATGCCCGGCCACGGTGGGATTCGAACCTACGACCTTTGGAATACTAGCCCAATGCTCTTCCAACTGAGCTACTAGGCCATCAGCCACTCAGCAGATTTTGACTTTTCGTTTCCCCCACACAGAGACAACAATTTGACGGGTGCAAATGTTGCTTAAAAGCTTATAAGGTCGAATAACAAAATGTTGTAATCGATAACACCTGCAGTTTTGCCAAAAATTGGCCTTCAAATTATGTAATTTTTACATTATATCGTCGCCATTTTTTCACGCATTTCGAAGCAGTGCTTCCATTTGCAATTAAGAAAATTTGCAAGGAAAATTAGGAAATAAAAAGCAAGGAAATAAAATTTAGAAGGAAATGGCAATGAATTTTGTTGTCAGGAAGGGAATAAGAGAGATATATTACGTTATTTCTAATAAATCCTAAGATTACAGCATTTTCCAAGCAAACTCGATTCAGAAAATGTCGAAAATCCTATCCTGTAAAATGGAAAATCCGAAAAAATTTTGAGGGATGACCAACAGCTGAAAAATTTGTTGCGCATGCGCCAGACTTCCATTGAAACTTGAAGATTTCCGTCATTTCCCTGGACTCCCGAAGAAATAAACGAAATGTTCGTGGTTGTTGTATATTTTTGAATATCTGTTTAACCTTTATAATTTTTTTTGCTTAACACAAAGTAGAATATACTCTACGTATCCTGTGTATAGAATATCTCGTTTGAACAGCAATAGAATATTATAATCTTGGCAAAACAAGAAGACATTTGACACGCTGAATCTGCTTTATCTACAGTCATTCCTGGCAATGGTCGCAAGCCTGACAGCTAGCCTTGTCAATCGGGAAACAAGTACAAATTTGAGTTCAAACAGAAAGAAGTCACGATTTTAATACAACTAACATATCTTCTATACAAATACGGCTGTTTTAAAATGTTTTCAATTTGAATTTTCAAACTGCTTTTATCTATCGACATCAGTGGCGTGCTGGCAGGGGCACGGCCCCTACTACGTACAACAATTCTTGGGGGGGGGGGGCGCAGAAATGAAAAGGGGGCGCCGATCCCGCGTCGAATTTTGAAAGTGGGTGGGAAAATACGCATTCGAAAAAATATAGTTACTTCTGCCAAGAAAACGACAAAGTGATATATTAAATTACAGACTATTTTGTCTATTAAGCCGTTTTGCTAATTTGCTACTTCACGGCGCACACGAAATCATTTATATAGGAACATGATTAGTGATCAAACGCAATGTCTCATTACCGAAATATTGGTCAGGTTTGGAAGCGATCACGGGAATTATGCCCTTTTTTGCTGCTATTATGCCCTTATATTACGCCCTTTATTATGCTTCACGAGAGCGGCGCAAATTAGATAGTTGAAGTTATCATAATGTAGTGTACACAATTTAGTTGTTTGCGCAAGAAACATCATGAGTAATGTAAGTAATGAAATAATGCTGAAACGCGCCCTATTGGCAGCCAGGCAAGGAAATCTTAAAATGCATATGCGTGGGGTCCGTGTATTATTGTATAAAAGAGCTGTAAGTTGTAAATGTATTCAGATCACTAGATCAGTAGAGAATAGAATTGGGATTAGATTAATTAATCGCTGGAAGTGGTTAGCATTGCATAATTTAAGTACAAATTGCAAATTTCCACACGTTATAATGCTATTTCCTGACCATCAGATTTCTGTCAAATCGTCCCCCAAAGTCCAGGAAATGGCATTTTAGAGACTCTAAATTCAAAAATCTTCCTGGGGGGCATGCCCCCGGACCCCCCTAGACAAACCTCGTAGGCCTACCTTCGGCGCTCGGCTCGTGCCTTCGGCCCTCGTTTATCAAGTGTAATATTGTAGGGGCGCATATTGGTTGACAGCCCACTGCCCCCCCAGAAAAATAGTACCCAGCACGCCACTGATCGACATGATAATCAAACTGTGCAAATGCCGGCTTTTGTTGAGGCTTGCGAATGCAAAATAACTTCCCGTAAACCGAGCATTTCAACACCGCAAACTCTCGCTTAGTCTTCTGATGCACTTGTACGTTCGGTTCTACCAGTTAAACAAGGAAAATATTCAAGAAACTCTGGTAAATTATGGTTGTCAAAAAACATTTCAGTGCTGAGGCAGTACAAGGTCTCAAGACCAAGGTCAAGTTGTCGATTTCATTACATTTTACAGTGCTTCGTAGCCTGCGAATACAGACTCTATTTATGTCGCTTATTCCACTTGGAGGGGGGGGGGGGACGCGATAAATAAGTTTTCCCCCAAGTGGAATAAGCGACATAAATGTAGACTGTTTCGCAGGCTAAGTGCTTCGATGTTCTCGAATTCTTGCTTCATACAAGAGCAGTAAGCGCACGCATTTCAAAGCGAAATTAGGCGCAAAGGGGCAATTTTTCATCAAAATTTGTTGTTAAATTCTGTTTCGTTAATTAAAACTAAATTTTCAAAACACTAAAAAAACTAGTAAGAAGATAAAATCCTTACTAATTTGATTTTCATTTTGGACAAATTTTGATTAATGTTAATAAACATGTTTATGGAAACAATCGCTTGACGTCCGCACTGCGCTTAATTCCGTTGAGGCATGCATAAATCTGCCTTCCTTTGAAACGCATGCTGGAACGCCCAATTCAAGGTATTATTACGACGGAAACATTTTACTCCTTTCCCCAGGAGACAGTCTCTCTACAGGAGATTTATTGTCCGAAAAATAAAGTTGCTACAGTTAACTATTTGCAGATCAAACATTGACTAAAAATGCTTACTCAGCATTTTTCCAAAACTTTGGTCAGCAATATTTCAGTAACAATTGACCGTACGTGATTATCATAATATAGTTTTTTTGTACACATGTGATGCTCTATCTGTCAGTATTTTCAAAGTTTTGAATTTCAAATATTTTTAGTTTTCTCATCTATGGATGACGTCATACATAGATAAAAGCAATTTTCTCGAGACCTGCATGTTTGCCGAAGTACAACATTG